ATTCAAGGATGGCAAAAAGTCAGACAACCAAACATGCTAATATGGCAAAGTCTCTAAATCCACAGGATAACTCACTTCCCATTCATATTTGGATCCTGCCATCTCTCTCCCTCAATTCTTATTCCAAGGTAGCAGTGGAGTACTGTACATGATTTTCCCTGACAGGAATGGGTGAACAGATTAAGAAGAAATTTGTGCTTGATCAAACAGAACTCAGAGTTTTTGGGATGAATTTATTAACTGTTGTGTCAAGAGGACTCCAACATCCCCTTGTCACAATGCTATCGGAGCGTGTTTTCCTCCAGAGTGGTTACATGTAGATAGGGCATACGGGAAAGGGGACAAACAAATGCATCTTGAATATTTGAGATACATTTGCGGGTTGACTACAGTGCAATCAACTCAGCCATCTAATTGAGAAGATTATATTTACATAGGGTAAAATTTAAAAAAGTTTCTAAGTTGCTTAGGATCCGAAGGGTAAACATTTTAAAAATACCTAATTGATTCAGGAGCCAAAATCCCATTTTCTAAAGCACTTAGGCATGCTCCAGTTTGCAAGTTCATGTGGGTTTTGGGGGTACACAGATGTGGGTATTTCTTTGGCATGACTTTATTTGGTCAGCATGTGAATATTATTTGTGTTAATTATTTTAAATCAGCAGAAGTGGTTGAATCTATTTTATATTCATTTCTATGCAGCTAATTACACAGCTAATAGAATTCATGTATAATACATGTTATTTGAAATAATATTTCTTCCCATTATCCTTCAAAATAAAGTCACACTTCACTCTTATTTGGTTGGTAATGACTCGAAATATATTCCTGGCATGTTTCCATGTAAACAGTTGGCTAGCATTGCATGTAGTCAACAACCCATTCCGTGATGGCTTAGTTGCAAGCTAGATATTCTTTGGGTTGTTATATTATGCAGCACAGCTGTTTTTTTCAATCTGTGAGCTTGAGAACCTAGGAGAAAGCTGGACTGTGTATGCATGTATAGCATCCTGAATAAAGAATCTCCTTTATCTTCACTACAACAGAATCTGGCTCTGCTATCACGAAGAGCACTACATCATGATTAAGTATAAACAGTATGCTAAATCTGATTTTTCTTCTGAGAATGAAAAATTAATCATCCAGTGACATCATTTACTGAATGTTTTAATTAACACAAAGTATTTACCATCAGCATTAGAACTGCCTCAAACATCTCCTTAAAAGAGTTTATGTTTACTCACAAAGAATAATACAGCCGTAACAGAATGTTCCTACATTCCGTAGCAAGGGAAATATAAAATTTATCAGCACTAGCTTCTAATGTGACATTATAAAATCATGTAGAGTACACATGCATGGCAGTCAGTCATCCTATAAAATGTTGTCAAGTAAAGTAGTGACATTTTGGATAACAATGTCACATATTAAACCAAACAGGAGAGAGAAATAGCTAATTGGGTCAGAAAGTCACCAGTGTCGCTAATTCACTAAAGAATTTGAAATCCTCACTTAGTCAGATGTTCTCCATTTTGTTGTTTTTAACTTTATGGAGGTGACAAATTTGCAACTATAGTGGGCTTAAAGTAGAGCATAAACACTTTTTTCTTCTGTTACTGTAGGTTGCCAGTTGGTGTGACATTTCAGAGTATGCTACTTTGTATGTGCTTTGAATGGTCTATGTAGTGTTTGAGTTTTTATAATAATATTTTAATAAATAAGCCACTGGATTTGGGCTTTGGGTGAAATTTTTACTGGGCAGTCCTACATGTCATTGTTGACCAATAGCCCCCTGTACTTCTACTGACATGGTCTAGCTCCTGCTTATCCAATACCTGCCCCAGATAAGCATTTAAAAAAAACCAAACACCTACCTATGAAATTGATCCATAAAAAATAGTCTGAAGTCACTAGGATTGTAATAGACATAATAAGAATGACACAAATGCCGGGACAGCTTACTATTACCACAACTATTCTACGTGATAGACACTAATACAACAGACTTAACTCTGCCACCCTTGGAATGACAGCCATCCTTAACTCCTTGAATCACTGTACAGGCAGTCCCCGGGTTACGTACAAGATAGGGACTGTAGGTTTGTTCTTAAGTTGAATTTGTATGTAAGTTGGAACTGGTACATATTGTAGGGGAAACTCTAGCCAAACATTTCTCCAGAGCTCAGTTTTATTCTCCCACACCTCACTTCCCTCAGTCCTTTATTCTCAAGCTGAGGTATCTGCTGAGAAAAGCCGCTCCGCGTCTCCCTGGTCTGCTGGGGGGAAGCAGCTAGTGCGGTGTTGCCTCACCCCGTTTGTAAGTAGGGATCCGATGTAAGTCGGATCCATGTAACCCGGGGACTGCCTGTATATATTGGACAAAGTGGACAGTCCCTATGGGAAAGAATTAATGGACACAAATCAAATATCCGTAAAGGGAACATACAAAATCTGTTGGGAAACACTTGAGTCTGCCTGGGCATTCATTAACAGATCTTCAAAAAAGATCTTCATTAACAGATCTTGGAAAAAAGAAGATTAAGGGGGGACATGATAGCGGTTTTCAAATATCTAAAACGTGGGGAGGCACTTTTCCTCTGCCCGGCAGCTCTGCGGGATCCCTGTCCCTGTGGCCAGCTGCTGCAGGCAGAGGCCAGTTGGAGCCGGCCGAAGAGGAGGAGCAGGTGGATTCTAGGACCCAGGTGAGCGAGCCCCGGGGACGTTGCTGCGCTCCGGGAGCTCGGCATGTATAGAGGGGAGAAGGGGCAGAGAGGCTGCTTTTGTCTGTTCGGCAGCCTGTTGCTCAGGGGAGGGGGCAGCCTGTTGCTGGCAGCGGGCGTGGGGAGGCACTTTTCCTCTGCCCGGCAGCTCTGCGGGACCCCAGTCGGAGCCGGCCCGAGGAGGAGGAGGATCCTAGGACCCAGGCGAGCGAGCCCCGGGAATGCTGCTGCGCATGTGCGGGAGTTGCCTCACCCCGTTCGTATCTAGGGATCCGACGTAAGTCGGATCCACGTAAGTCGGGGACTGCCTGTATTGAAGAGAGCCCTCTACCAAACTGACCTCTCCGAACACAACTAACTACTACACCCATACCCAATACCCAAATATTAATTGTTAAGTGGATTAATTTTTCATGTTGAAAAAGTTACTTGTCCTCACTGTTGTCCGGGAGTCTAACATTTTGTAAGCTCTGCAATTATGTCTGAAGTGTCAAAAACAGATTTCACTGTACATTTAAAAACTCTCACTACAACATGTCTTCCTGTAGTATAAATGCAGGCAAGGAGGGAGCTTTATGTGCTCTTTTCCCTCACGGAGACATAATTGCATCTAGATCTGGATGCAAATATAAATTTGGTTGTTTCATTTGAGTTTTGAATAGGTATTTGATCACATGATCAGACCACTACACAGCCTGAAAAATCTGTAAGAGTATGTCTAGACTACATGGCTCCGTCGACGGAGCCATGTTGATGAGTTTACTAGACATAGGAAAATGAAGCGGCGATTTAAATAATCACCACTTCATTTACATCAAAATGGCTGCCGTGCTGTGCCGATCAGCTGTTTGGTGGCACAGCGGGGCCGTCTGGGCGCGCCGCGGTTGACAAGGGAAGCCTTTGTCGACCGCTCCGGTAAACCTCATTTCACGAGGCATACCGGAGCAGTCGACAAAGGCTTCCCTTGTCAAATGCGGCACATCCAGACTGCCCTGCTGTGCCGCCAAACAGCTGATCGGCACAGTGTGGCGGCCATTTTGATGTAAATGAAGTGGCGATTATTTAAATCGCTGCTTCATTTTCCTATGTCTAGTAAACTCATCTACATGGCTCCGTCGACGGAGCCATGTAGTCTAGACATACCCTTAGACTCTCCTCAGGAGAACAACAATGAAGAATGAGTAAGAATGTTTCAAATCAGGATTATGGTCCAAAGGTAAGATAGTTATATCCATATTACCGTATGCCTAACTCCAGCTAGTGAAAAAAGCTACCTTGATTTCACAGAGAGCAAAACTCATTCCCAAAGCCTCATACTTCACCAGATAGGTACCAAATAAATATAATGATGATGATTATTATTATATAGTCAAAATACTTGCATGGGTGGGAAAGCACAGATATTGTAAAAACCCAATGCTCTGCTCTTAATGTTACATTTACCTTGCTAAATCAATTACTCAAAATTGATGTGGATGTGAATGTGGAAAACATGTTTGAGTGCGAATAAGCAACAGTTTCACATCAATCAATATCCAGTAAGTTGGCCAAATACAACAAACAAACAAACAAACAAACAAACAAACAAACCACTCCACAATCCAGGCAATCTGTACAAATGTATTCAGTGTGTTGCCTCTGCCTAATACTTCCCTGGCATTTAAACAACACTGCTGAAAGAACTTTGTGAGCAGAACTAAACTTGCAGAACCACTTATTTTTAATGAATGATGCTACATGTACTTGAGTGCTTTACTGCATTTGATGAAGCATGAAGCAAACTTTCCAAGACAGAACAAATATGAGTTGACCGATCAAGTCAGGGAGTAAACCCAAATTCTGCAGAGAATCTAAGACAGATGTGCTTTACATCTTGTAATGTTTGGAATATGTTAGTGATGCAGTAAAGATCCTTTCAAGTATATATGTCAGCTAGAAAGCATTTTTTGAATGGATAAACATATAGGGGAAGAATAGCAGATGTGTTCAACCAAGCAACTCAAAATATCCAAGAGTGCAGTTATCTCTCAGTCCCTAAAGTAATGATTCAGAGCCTACACTCAAGGGTTTTTTATTCCCTAAATAAAATCTACAAAATGAGACAATATATATGATCCAATTTTTCTCTTTATGCTGAATACACATATGATTTCTTAAAGAACCAGATTCTAATGGGGCATCTGATTGTTCTTATGACCTTTCCAATAAACTAGTGCTGTCCAGCAGAGATAGGGATCTGATACATGCAGGTTTAGTAGGATACGGGAAATATCCACTTACTGTTGGTTGCATAACATACGGCGGATGAGGCATCCACGAAGTACTCTGGACCTGCATATCAAACACATTAGTACAAAACAGTTTAAACAGAGCTCTCTTCTCTCAGTGCAGTTAGGTGCAAGCATCTTTTGCATTTGTCACAATTATAACAAATAGCAAGCTAATAGGAAGAACCCAGTGGGAGACAACATTTGTCAATCTCTTGTAATCTTACTAGCATAAAAACTGTCCAGTCCCATTCAGCAATGTATTGGCCATGTTCAGAAGTCTGAAAGAGAGCACACTACCTCCCCTGTTTTATCCAATAAAGTATGATATCCAGTGGATGGTACAGTAGGCTCAAATTTTAAGTAAAATTTTCAAACGCTCTTTACTGCCACAGTGTTTAAGTTCCAGTTTCAAAAGTGACTTCTGTACCACAGAAAGTAATTTTAAAAACCTCATTCAAAGCTTGGAAAAGTAGATACCAGGCCCTTAAAGAGATATTGAAAATTGTAGCCTCTGTGCTGCCATTTGGAAGTTGTTTCAGTCACAGAACATCTGCTTGAGAAAAGGAGTCAAGTTTAATTCATTTTACCTCTGAAGTTCTGATTTTCAATCTCCCTTACTGTACAAACTAAAATAATTTTGGTATCTTAACCAATGGTAGTGTCCTGCAGACATATTCTTAATATTTAAAAATCCTTAACAAATCAAAAAAAACCCTCAAAATGTAGTTTTGCAAGTCTGGTGAAATTTTCTGAATCGGGCGCCAGGATTGAAGGAGCAGTGAGGATACAGGTTGGAAATGACCAGTATGGGAAAGAGAACATATAACACTTGCACTGTTCCTCATTCAAGGAAATGCCAGAAGTGTTTCATTTTCACGACCATTAAATTCACCCATAAAATATTGAAAGAAAACAACTCCAGACAACAATCAAAATGATCTACCTCAGTAAGCTTTAGGGATACATTTTATGCGTGGTTTCAACTCTGACAGCCTGACAAAAGCGTTCCTCACTATGATGTGGGAAAAACCCCAGTATTCTTGCTTCTCAGATCAACAATGACTACTTATATATTGGAGATGTTCCAGTCCAAAATACTGCTTGCAAATAAATGTGCATGGCAATGTTTTAATATCAACTCAGAAAAGCCATCCTGCATTAACAGGGGTTTCTTAATGAAAACTTGATATAGAATAGGGAGGCCGGGACAGTAATACTATTCTGGGAAGACTGAGGCCATGTTTTCATGCCCCTGCCACATTCGGTCTTCCAGAGTTAAATTTAGCAAGTTTAGTTAAGACTCACTAAATTGAACTGAGAGGGCACCCCCACTGGCGTCCCATACTCCTGCTCTCACCAGGAGTAAGCGAAGATGATGGGAGTGTTTGCTTCTGTCAACCTCCTGCTTTGAAGATGTTGCCAAGCTCAGCTTAAGGTAAGCCAACTCCAGCTGGAGTTGCATATCTTAAGCTAAGATGCTGGGTCTAGTGTAGACCTGGCCTGAGAGGAGTTGGTGAGAAAGCCAAAAATATACAATGGGTGGGAGCCTGAAGGCATGTATGAAAACTGTGTTCCCCCAATGGCTTGCTTTGCAGAGTGCTATTCAAGAGGAATGTGTTGTTAATGGATGTCAGTGGGGCAACAATCTGGAAGCAAAAGATGAAAACCTGATGAATACAAACTAAAAGACTAAAAAGGTGCATTCTCTAAAATTCAGCCAAAGAACAGAAGCCATAAAAGACAAAATATTTCATTCAGCTTGAAAACCTTTGATAGTGTCAACTGGAAATGAAGCTAAATGCTGAGCACTTGAAAAACTGATTAAAATAAGAAAAAAATATGGTGGCTTATATTACTTAGTGTAAAGAATCCAGGAAGTACAGGATAGCCTACACTAAGCAGAACTTCAGTGCTACCAAAAAACCTTGATTTAAAGCATGAATAAAGCATGCACGCACACATACAATTTTCTGCTGCATACATTTTGTCTTTGTCCACATCCAAAACATAATCAACTGAGGGGTACATACAGAGAGGCATGCATATCTGACATACCTGATATGTAGAGACAGGGGAAGCAGCAATGAATGGCGTGATAGATGTCTGTGGAATCATGCGGTTTGTTGCAATACTGTACGGTGAGGAATAAAATCTGCAAACAGAAAACAAAAGGAAGATTCTTGAAGCTCTTAATAGCCAGATTCCAACTTACTGACCCACTGTCATCATTGGGCAATGACAATTCTATCTGTCTGTCTCGCTGTCTCCCTGCCCTCCTAAAAATGGTAATAAAAAAGGATGATGTGCTTTGTGCATCTATGGATTTTGTTGGTTTTCTTCCCGGCACCCCCTTCAATTTCACTATCAAGATCATTTTTTTCTTCTTCACTTCCAAAAAGCATTAAAAACAGAACTTTGGAAAACTCGCCTTCAAAAATACAGAAAGTAGCTACTTGAAATGCAATGATTGTACTCTGAAAAATCACCTATCTAGTCTAGGAAAACTTCTTGGACCATATCAATGACAATGATACAGATCTCATTTATGAATACAGTAACTGCTTCCGCTCAGATCCGAATAATTCGGTGTTGAGGATAATATATTTTATGCCTATGCCTTCAGTTTGCTTATTAAGGGATAGCTGCAGTCACAGGACACTCTGGTTATGATTTTCATATCCAGCTAGGAAAGGTAAATACATATTTTCCATTGAAATTAATCAAAGGTATACACCAGCTCCCCTAGTTGAATGCAGTATAGTTGTAGCTGTTTCAGTCACAGGATTTTAGGAAGACAGGGTGAGTCCAGTGTCTTTCATTGGACCAACATTTGTTGGAGAGAGAGACAAGCTTTTGAGCCACACAAAGCTCTTCTTCATGTCTGGGAAAGGTACCCTCAGTATCAGAGCAAAATTTAAGGTTGAACTGATTGTTCAGCACAAGTAATTAGCATACATTCTATGAGACCATTCAAGGTAAAATGGATGGTCAACACCTCTGCAGTCATCGCACAGAAAGAGGGGTTAGTAGGTTACATACTGTTGTAAGAAACCATAGATCCAGTGCCTCCTTTCACCACATGATTTTTAGAATGTAGCAGAGTTCCCGGTTTAAGCTCCCAGAAGAGGTTAAACATGGGGGAGGCATATGGAGTCTAGAGCCCCCCTCAGATTTTTCTGCATGCTAAGCCACCCTTGGAGGGCTTGCTCTGCTTAGTCTGCTGGCGGGGGAGCAAGCCAGAAATATTCAGAGGTTGGGGGAGGGGGGAGATGTGGCTTGTTTGGGGCACAGGCAGGGAGCAGAGGGGCAGAGCCACCATGGCCTCCCCAGGTGGGCTGACTCGTAGATGGCAGTACAGAGGCAGTGATCTTCAGCACGCACCCTCTACTAACATGAGATGTAGCTCCATTGTGTCCCCTTCACTTCCTGCCCAGCCTGGCTGAGAGCTGGAAACTTGCTGGGGTGGGGCACAGGCACAGCAGAGGATGGATGTAGCACTCCCCCCACCTTGCCTCATGCAGGTAACTCTAGGCGGGAGAGTGTGATGGCCCCAAGCCTGATGCAGGGTCACTTGGGAAGATGCTGGAAGCAGGGTCTCTGTGCTCAGCTTGCATTAGGGGTACTACCTGTGCCCCTCGCCTCCTGTGATGAGGCATCTGTGAGAGCCCTAGAGGTCCAAGGAGCTTTTGTGGGTCTCCTCAGACCAGGGCCAACCCCAGCGCTGGCCCAAAGACACATGCTCCCTGCTCCTGTGGCCCCACCCTCTGCCACGGAGCTGATGGAACTGGCTGCCCTGGCTCAGGGAGCTGGGACTACAAGGTTCCTCTCAGAGACAACATGTCTCCCCCCCCCCGGTACCTTGAGACCTCAACTATCAGTAGGCATGAGTCGTCTTTTGAAAGAGCTGTGCAGGTTTCCTTTGAGGATGTCGACCGTGAAGCATCCAGACTAGCACGCTGAGCCGACAAACAGCTGATCGGCTCAGCGAGACAGTCATTTTAATTTAAATGAAGCGGCAATTATTTAAATCGTGGCTTCATTTGGGTATGTCTAGTAAACTAATCTACATGGCTCTGCCGACAGCCATGTAGTCTAGACATACCCTCTGAGTTTCTTTCCCAGTCCTGAAGAAAAGCTCTGTGTGGCTCAAAAGCTTGTATATCTCATCAACAGAAGTTGAACCCATGAAAGATATTACCTCACCACTTTGTGTTTCTAACTTCTCTAAACAGCTTTATTGTTTTTATTTCTAATGCAAGCTGATCACCTGAGACATGCACAGGATTTTGCAGTAACACTTTTGGCAGAGGGGTGAATTAGAGTGTATTCTCCCTTTTCCTCCACTCCGAGGAAAGAAAATTAACAGTAGTATTTCAAAACAGCCACGCAACAACAAACAACAAACAAATCTTTTTTTTATACTGGGACACGGCTTAATGATCATTTTGACCACCAGGATTTAAAATTAGTCAGTCTATTTAATGTTGCAGATTCTGGATGAGGAGTAAAATAAATCACTGTATCAGGAAACAATTGGGACGGGAAAAACAGTCTCCCTTCTTTGAGCATTGGGAGAAAATGTCCAAAAGGAAAGGGGACTAAAAGAAATGATTTGTTTTCAGTATTTCAAATATGGCTTTAAAATAGCCAGGGCAGCAGGCCGAACTCTGGATAAAATAGCAATAAACTGCCATTTTTAAGAATGTCTGTATTGCCTAAGTGCTGCCCAGACAGCTGGTTTGAAAATGTCTCCATTTAACATTTTCCATGTATTCTATTTATGAGATAATGAAGGAGATGGAGGATGCATTTCTTGTGACAGCAGAGACAGAACATATGCTGTTATGTAAAGCCAAAGGTCTCTTTTGAATACATTTACCTGTGACGGCAGCACAATGCATATGTTTTCTCTAGTCCTGTTAGAATGCTCTGCTGACCACAAGTGATGTGTTCCCAGTCAATGGCTAATCGGATTTCACTTTGGTCCTGCTATTTTTTAGCAAATGTAGTGAGGCAAGCTGTAGCTCATAAATGAAAACAACAGTACCAGGCTGTTAGGCAGAATTTACAGAAAACTCCACAGGGAACTACACAACAGAAATATAAATAAATCTCACAAGTAAAGAGATATGTAAAGGGGGATCCCTTTTGAGAAAACAATGCATTCTTGTTCTTACTGGTCTAATCCTATCTGTCAATCTTGGAATGATATTTCACTCTCTAGGAAGCTGAAATACTGTCATTCAAGGTAAGAGCTATCAGGTGGAAGAGAGGAGAAAAACAACACCCTATTTGATCCCCTCATGCTGATTCCCTGGAATAAGCTCTTCCATAAATCCAAGCACATACTACCAACATTTGAAGGAAATGTTTGCTTAAGCCTATAACTCAATAGACAGCTAACCATTTCATTTTCAGCTTAGAGGTGCAGCTACGTGAATATTAGGTAAGCTTTCAGAATACATACTCTGGTAATGTGAAAAACACATGCCTCTCAATTCCCCTGCCAATGTCTTTTATCTGCCCTGGTCTAGAATGCTTGTAAACTGGTATCATGCAAAACAAATTATCAGGGCACTCAGAGAAATTCCTAATGCACATGCACTAGGGTATAATGGAAGAGAAAGGAGAGAGTTTTGACCAAAAAACAACTTAATAGGAAAGAGTCCTACAGATGCACAGGTTGGACCTCCCTGATCCAGGACCCTTGGGATCTGACCAGTCCCAGACGAGAGAGTTTACTGACCAGGGAGGACAATGCCAGCTCCCTGTCCCCGGCCCAGCAGGGCTCCCAGACCTGACAAGGCTACTAGCCTTCCTGCCGCTGGACTGCTAGTTGTTGGGTCTCTCTGGTCCAAGAACATCCATGGTTTTGCCAGACCATGGATGTTACCAGACCAGAGAGTCCTAGTTTACAGATGTTCAATGTTTATTGTAATTTTAATGACACTGGGCCATACTCTGTAGTAGAAAGGAATGGAAAATTCTCATGAACTTCTGGGAAAGAATTTCCCAGTGAAGAAACTGAGCAAGTTAGCTGAAGGATCTCTTCCGAAGCACCTTCTGCAAGTTCTGGTGTAGACAGTACACATGGGGCAAAACTAGGAGCAAGAGGTCATGAGGGCATAGTGGACAATGGCAATGCTCAATAGGACTACTGCCCAAAGATCGGTTGGCTATAGATCGGTGCTATAGATTAGACAGCTCATAGAATCATAGGTCTGGTGGGGTGCTATAGATTAGACAGCTCATAGAATCATAGGTCTGGAAGAGACCTCAAGAGGTCATCGAGTCCAGCCCCTTGCTCAAAGCAGGACCAATCTCAACTTAATCACCTCAGTCTGGGCTTTGTCAAGCCAAGAATTAAAAATCTGTAGGGATGGAGATTCCACCACCTCCCTAAGTAACCCATTCCAGTGCTTCATCACCTTCCTAGTGAAACAGTTATTCCTAATATCCAACGTAGACCTCCCCCACTGTAACTTGACACCATTGCTCCTTGTTCTGCCATCCGTCACTGCTGAGAACAGCTTTGCTTTATCCTCTTTGGAACCTCCCTTCAGGAAGTTGAAGGCTGCTATCAAATCCCCCCTCATTCTTCTCTTCTGCAGACAAAAAAAGCCCAAATCCCTCAGCCTCTCCTCGTAGGTCAAGTGCTCCAGCCCTGTTATCTTTTTGGTTGCGCTCCACTAGACCCTCTCCAGCACGTGCACATCCTTTCTGTAATGGGGGCCCCAGAATTGGATACAATACTCCAGATGTTGCTTCACTAATGCCGAATAAAGGGGAATAATCACTTCTCTAGATCTGCTGGCAATGCTCTTCCTAATGCACCCTACTATGCCATTAGCCTTCTTGGCTAAAGGGGCACACTGTTGACTCATAACCAGGTTTTTTTCCACTGTAATCCCCAAATCCTTTTCTGCTGAACTGCTACCTAGCCAGTCGGTTCCCAGCCTGTAACAATGCTTGGGATTCTTCCATCCCAAGTGCAGGACTCCACACTTGTCCTTATTGAACCTCATCAGATTTCCCAAAAGCAGTTCCAAGTTGCAGCAGTCCTGAACTGGGAGGTAGCTTAAAGTCCCTTTGGACACCTCTCTCCCTGTGCTTTGAGTAGTATGCAGCTTCACAAACATCCCACCCAAACTC